TACTAGACCTCACGAAAATTTGAGGTCAACAGGTGTGAGGTTTGGTAGCTACACCTTCATCTACCATTGCAATTTGTTTAAATTTCCTGCAAAATTATATGTCATGCTGCAAAAGCTAATCTTTCAGTGGGGATGCCGAGAAGACATATACGCTTTTATAGTGTTATTTAATTTCTGTCATTTGACTTTTTGTAATTTTACTTTCATTTCAAAACATGATACATGCTTGGTTGTGAACGTGCAAAATTCAAAATCATTTTAAAAAAATTAATCAACATTTTCAAAAATCTAAAACAAATTCTTTCAAAGGTAACCATAAATCCTTTGAAATATCACTAAATTTAAAACGTCATTTTGAATTTACGGGAGTCCCTCGAACGAGGTAATTCACGGTTGCTAACGAGATATTCCTGGTTTAAATGAGCCTAACAACTCGTTCAAGCTAAGTAAATTCAAAAGAAATAGTGATACCGGAACGAGGGAACTGCGAGGGAACTGTGAGATCCTAACCGATGTCGCTCTAATCAACTTTAACCCCCTTCATAACTTTAAAACATCTGGTATAACCTGTTAAACCTTTAGACTTTAGGACTGCTACTTCATCGAGGAGCTTGGAGCTGACTTTGTGGGCAACCTTCTACAATAGCAATCTACAACAACATGAGGAATCTACAACAACATATCTTCTATTAGAATTAAAAAAATAAGCCATAGGACTTCAAGGCCGTTAGTCTAGTGCGACATAAATCCTCAACCTTATCTTTAGGTTTTTGCACAACCGTGTTGTGCAATATAAGCCCTAACTCATTTTAGGATTCCGAGGTTGTTGTTCGTCATGACCTAAATCCTCATATCTTTCAGACTATTTATATGACCGTGTCATGCAAATATAAGCTCTAATTAATAAAATTGGCAGAATATAATATTTAAATAATTTTACTTCTTGAAACTGAAGCCAAACCATAGGATAACTTGAGAAGTCACCGTTGTGCAATATAAGCCCTAACTCATTTTAGGATTCCGAGGTTGTTGTTCGTCATGACCTAAATCCTCATATCTTTCAGACTATTTATATGACCGTGTCATGCAAATATAAGCTCTAATTAATAAAATTGGCAGAATATAATATTTAAATAATTTTACTTCTTGAAACTGAAGCCAAACCATAGGATAACTTGAGAAGTCACCGAGGTTCTCCTCAGGATCTGTGACAACCCCTAGTTTCTATTCCTTTGGATTCCATAACAACCTTTGATACTCTTTTGGTCCGATCTTTTGAAAAGTCCTACCACTTGAAATTCTTGAAGACAATATTTCTTGACAATATTTCTTGATTTAATTCTTGATTTAAATCGAGAGTTTTCTTAGTTGACTTCGGTTATCTAAGATGTAATTAACTATCGGGGCTGACCCTTATAAGAAATTTTAAGAATCCAACTTAATATTAAATCTATTTAATAAAAATGGTTTTTTGCAGACTTAAAATGGATGTTGTAAGTTCTTTAGTTTATTTAATTGAGCACCACCAACAAGTAGTGTATCTATCATTCGAGATAGATATATTGCTTGCGGTATTGTGCTCGATCATTTAAACTATTGCAGTTATGAGATCCGTTCGGTCTCGTATTTTTAAAACTTAAAATATTACCTATATATATATATATATATATATATTAAATTAAAGCAGGCGATGTTATGGTAAAAAATGGCTTGCATATGAAACCTATTTTAAGCATGGTGATAAACTTTATTAGCTTGTTATAAATGTTGAAATGTAAGAATATTGTGGCTAATTAAGCTATTGATAACGTAATATTAAAACTTGAAGTACACCTGTATCCATTTAAAGTAACATGGATAGATAAGATGTTAGTTTTTGTTGTATGAGCATGTAGTGCATATTCAACTTGCTACTCATAATGATAAATTTTTGCGTAATATTTTGCTCATGCATGCACCACATTACTCTCAAGTCTTCCATGATTATATGATCTAAACGCTACTATTACATATGATTGAATAACAATGGAAGAAGATTATTACTAGGAATTGTGCTTCGTTTACAAAAGAATTTTTTTCTTTAAAAATGTGAATCAGGATTCACTTTTATTAAATCAACATTAACTTTTAAAAAAGATTCTGTATGAAGGATTGATTTATGCTTTATTGATTGTAGAATCTAAAGATGTTAAATATTGATTATACACGAAGATGTTAATTAGGTGCCATATGTAATCTTAAAATTTATAGCCCATTGAATTACATCTCTTGGAAACATACATGCTAAAGATTTGATTATTAGATTATCTTTAATTTATTAATCATATTAATTGATGAATCCAGTGCAAAATTAGCTTAATGGAAAGAGTTTAGGCCTTTGCATAGTTTTGATATTGCTTTCATCACATATAAATGTAAGTTGTTTTATGTGTGCAGACATTTGGGCTTTCGAAGTTTTGAAGAGAAATATATTTATTGGACTTATTATTAATTATGAACAGTTATATATTATTTATATGATACCTGGTGTCTTTATTCTTTTAATTTTTATGTTAACTTGCCAAATAAAATAACATTAAATTTTAAATTCAAATAAAAAAAATGGGTCTTCCAATTAATATTGTGCCTGACAACCACACAATCTTCTTCCTCGGAAGTTACCTTTAGATCCGAGACTACATTTTCTATTGATATTGTGTCTGACAAGTTATCCCACCTAGTCATTAATCATAAACTGCATGACTAGAATTTTCTTCAATGAACGCGGTCTGTTTTCATGTACAGGGAAAGATGGACATCTTATAAGTGAAATTTTGGTTCTAGAAATTTCAGACTCTAAATATTGGACTTGGAAAATTGACGATCACTTGGTTTTGTCATGGTTAATAAATTCCATGACCACAGATTGGAGAAATTTCTTGCTCTATAGGACTACCAAGGAGATATGGGAGGTTGCACGTTAGACCTACTCTAGCACTGAAAACTCCTCAGAGTTATTTGATATTGAGACAAGACTCAAGGAGAATTGAGTGTAACTCAATATTTTATCACTCACACGCTATTGGCTGCAACTTGACATGTATGAAGTTTATTCCTGGAAATGCCCTAATGAATTTGCCGTGTATAAACAAAATCATTGGACAAAAGAAAACCATCAAATTCCTTCTTGGATTTAATAAAGACTTAGATGAAGTCAGGGGGAGAATCATCAGAATTAAACTTGTTCCTATCATTCAGGAGACATTTGCAGAAGTTTGGAGGGAGGAAAGCAGAAAGAAGTTAATGTTGACAGATAATCATACCAAACCATCTATTGAATGATCAACCATGTACACTCATTACTCCTCCCAGAATAATAAACTCAAGAAAGGGTGAATTGCAAGAAACCTGGTAATGTGAAGGCAACATGCTTAAAATTACACAGAAAACCTACATATTGGAAGCCATCCAATGGAAGACATGATAGGGAGAACCGTGCAAATATCGGTCATAACCAACAACAATGTAAAATTTAATTCATTCACCAGGGAGCAAATTGAGGCACTGCAGAACATGTTATGTCATGGTTATAGTTATGAGCAAGTACCACGATCTTTTATTGAGCAACCAACCAATCTGTCGGCATACCAATGTATCCCGTCCCATGCTCTTGTTATTGAAAACAATAAACTAAAACCAAGGATAGTCTACTCCATAGCCTCAGATCATATAACTGAAGATATCAATCTGTTCAAACATTATAACCCATGCACCAGTCACTCTGCAGTTCGAACAACTGATAGTTTATTCTCTCCAGTAGTAGGGGTTGAATCAGCCGAATTGACAAGGGCTTTTCATCTCTACTTTGTTCTTTTTGTTCCAAAATTAGATTGTAATATACTCTTAATCAATAAACTTACTAGTGACTTGAAATGTATGACTAAATTTTATTTCAATCTTTTTGATTTTTAGATAGTGGATTCGGGAAAGGTGATTGACAGTGCTGAAATGCATGATGGTCTATATCTGCCCAAAGAAAATAATCTCATCTGTAGATAAATTTAACCGTTAAGTTACATTTCTAAGTCCTGTTTAAAATTTATTAATTCAGCTTCTAATTGCAACTATTTTAGTTGAAAGTTAAGTTTTGTTAATGCATTGTCGCCTTGCTCATTCAAAATTTTCTTATATTGAAAAAATATTTACACATTTGTTTATAAACAAAAAATCTAATTTCTATCAATGTGAAATGTGTCAACTTGCAAAACATACCAGACATGTATATTCTAAATTAAAATAGAAATCATCACATCTTTTTTATGTAATTCACAGTGACATTTGGGGTCCCTCCCAAGTAAAAAATATAAACGGGCCAGAATGGTTTCTATCTTTCATAGATTATCATACTATAACGACTTGGACACTCTTTATGAAAGAAAATCTGAAATCACCACCATATTTCAATCTTTTCACTCCATAATCCTTAATTCCAAAACAATTTTCATTACCTTAAAACTAACAATGCTAAGGAATATCTCAATTCCATTCTTGGTCTTTATCTTTCTAAGCATGGTATCATCCATATAAGTTTTTGTGTGGATACTCAACAAAATAGGATCGCTGAGAGAAAAAGTAGATATTTACTTGAAGTGGCCTGTGTTATTATGATCTTTAATAATATGTCTAAACACTTTTAGGGGGAAGCCATTCCCATAGCCACATATATTATAAAAAGAATGTCTAGTCGTGTCCTAAAATTTCATTTTTTTCTTAATATTTTCCATAGAATTTTATCAACATACTTAACTGAGTTAAGTGTTGTCGAGATAAGAATAATTAGATGGATGAGTGGCTTTACACTTAAAGAAAAATTTCGAAATGATTATATCTGTGATAAGGTTAGTGTATTTCCAGTGACAGACAAAATTAGAGAGAGTCGTCTTAGATGGTTTGGTCACATTAAACGTCGACTATCTGATGATCTGATTATAAGAGTAGATGTTTTAGATTCGACTTATGTTAAGAAAGGTAGAGGTGAACGTAGCAAGACTTGGGCATATTGTATAAAAAATGATAATAATTTTTAGAATTAAATGAAAATATGGCATTAAATAGGACGCAATGGAGAAAAAGATTCATGTAGCTAACCTCACTTAGTGGGATAAAGGTTTTGTTGTTGTTGTAACCACTATTTTTCTTCTAACTTATAATTGAAAATCTTTGTTTGCTCTGCCTTTTTTCACATACACCACTATCACCACATCAAACTTGGTCCCAAATCTCTTAGGTGTATCTCCTTTGGTTACTGCTCTAACAAAAAAGAATACAAATGCTACTCTCCAATTACTAGGAAAATGTATAGCCCCATGAGTGACACCTTATATGAGAATCAATCTTAATTTACTAAATTAGAAATTCAAGGGGAGAATTTATGGGAATATCAAATTTGGGATGTTCTTCAAGAAAATCAAACTGAATCAAATCCAGTTACTAAAAAAAAAACCAAATCCTACCACTTAACTTACTCCATTTGAAGAATCAAACTCTATTATTCCCATCTTTAATCACTCTCAACTTGACACTAGTGATTCAAAACTGTTAAGAACATGAACCAACTTCTGATAATCATAATTATAAGGATTCTTGTCTCAGGATTGAAGGTGCATTGATCATCCAATCAAAAATATGTAGCTTATGAGAAGATGTTACAATCTTATAGGGTTTTTGTGACAAAGCTTGATATTGTGCATGTTCCCCACTCTATTTAGGACGTTCTAAAAGTTTCAACATGGAAACAAGTTGTTGAGGAAGAAATTTCGGTTTTAGAAAATAATAACACATGGACACTTAACAGAGTTGTCTAATGGAAAAAATCTTGTAGGTTATAAATGGATCTCCATGTTTAAATACAAAGGAGAAGTGTATAGAGATTCAAAGTTAGATTGGTTGCCAAGTGCTTCACTTAGTCATATGGAATTGACTATCAGGAAATTTTTGCGTCTGTTGTCAAGGTTAATACTCTTCATATTCCACTCTTTTGCAATAAACTATGAGATCTAAAAATTTGTTGACCTCGGCCCCTCTTGAAATAAAAATGACGGCTTGAGGGTTTACTTAAGATTTCGGGTCAAATTTTTAGAAGGAAAATGAAATTGTAGATAAGACATTACTAAGAGATTTTACATTTATTTTATGAGGACTTTTTGATATGAAGTTTGAGATTTCGCATAGGCGCAAACCTCTATGGTTAATTACCTCTTCTCATAAGGCGAGAACACTTAAGACTAGTCATTAAGTACTAATTGCTCAACATATAGTGCAAAAATTATTTATGGATTTATATTGTGAAATTTGATTGAATTTTTATAATATAAAAATTTATCACTTTGAGCTTAAAAGCATATTTTTGGTGGAATGATGATTAGCCTGGTCAAGATCCCGTGATTTTATCATCCCGGGCTAACGTAGATCCTTAGCTTATTTACTCAGAGGAGGGCGTCGACGCAACCTGAGGAGAAGTTTGTCTAAGAGGATTAATTTAAGTCAGTTTTAGCTAACAGCAGACTTTGTGTCCTATTAAATATAACTTATGATTCATGTCTCAAAGAGCATATAACCATCTAAGAATATATGTGCTATAACCATGATCATAATTTAATGATGTCATTTGACGACAAACCACCCAGTTAAATGATTATGGTCTTAACTGTTTTTTTGTGGACCCGGCTAGCCAAGTTACACAAACAAAGGACACGAACCACATTCTTATTGGCGTAAATTGATTTGAGAGTGAATTTAGTAATATATTGGACAGGATTGACTCTATGTGAGTTTAGGTTAGCGATAAATTTTTCGCCCGCGACAAATAAGCGTAGAGGGTGGATGAATCATTAAAATTGAATCATTTCAACTTTGCATCTTGCTTGCAACGGATCGGCTTTGAGATTGACACATGATTGAAACTTAACCTTATTAATTTTGTCATGCTTATAGTGGATTGGGTCTATTAATTGGGTTTTTTAAAAATAAACATTGAACCTTGAAGCTTATTTATGAAAGTTAACTCAGCTGGTTGAAATTTTTTATTAATCCGGTAATCATCAGAGATTTTGACTATTTAATTGAACCTTGTCAACTTTGTCTCGCTTATAGAGAATCAAACTCCTTAATCATATGATTGAATTTCAAATATAATTTAGATTTTGAAGCTTAATTTTGAAAGTTACCACCTTCAGTTAAAATCTTCTGTCAACTTGGCCATCATTAGGGATTTTAATTGTTCGATTTGAATCTTGTCAACTCTGTCTTGCCTAGAGAGCATCCAGTTCAGAGTATATATCATTTGAGTTTTAAAAATAGATTTTGAAATTTAATTTTAAGAATAGACCCATCCAGTTGAAATTTTCTATCAACTTGATGATCATCAGGGAATTAATTGTTTGATTTAAATATTGTCAATTGTGCCTCTTTTACAAAGAATTGTGTTAAAAAATTGAGATAATTTCATGTGAATATAGAGATAAAACACCTCCAATTTCTTATCTAAAGTAAATATTCAATTATTAGTCAATCATATTAACTTCAATCCTTACATGGAGAAAGGTATGGCGGACTAAGCAACACCCAACCTCGTTAACTCCAGTACTTCTTAGGAGGATAATACTGGGCCGGTGAGACTTACGAATCTATCTTATAGACAAGGCGGCTTGCCTAAAAGCATGTATTATTTGGTATTTAATTTTATTTTATAAAGATGGATTTTGTAAAATTTGCATATTTGCACGCTTCTTAGAGCACATGCAGTAAAAGTGTTTTGAGAATTTAACAAACTCTTTAAAATAATTTACTTTAATATTCAATTCATTTTAAGCTCACATGACATTCTCGGACTGTACGATCACACTCTCAACATCGGGTTCACTACAGGCCCTGTTTTAATTATTTCTCATTTGTGATGCCTAAAATCACTATTTATTAATGAAATTATGTGTGCTTCTGGTTTAGTATTTGGGTTATGTTTCGAAGATAATTAATTGGTCAAACCAATTAAGTTCCCATTGTTCTATCATCTTGGGTCAAATTGATAAACTGACTGCTAACAATAGAGTGCTTTGGTGTCTTATCAACTCAGGATTTAATTAGTGGCCATTGATTTTCTTCTATTAATTAGTGCCAAGTTTTTTCAAGCCTAACATAGATGTTGCAGATTTCCAAATCTACAATTGTCGTAAAAAAACACGTCAGTGTTGCAACAAGTTTTGGCATGTTTGATCAACTTTGTTAGTTTGTTTATAATTTGGTTTCATTAATAAAAGGTATCACTAATTTATTGGCACGCATATGATGAAAAATATGTCCAGTTTATGTGGTGTTTGTCCTCTTATCCACATGAAATAAGGGTATTTGAGGCATTTAGAAACAATATTTGATTGAATGAAATATTAATTTTGTGGGTGTGAAATATATTTTTTTTCATATTTATGGGACCTCATTTCTTCACAAATCTGAAACTTCTTTTTTGACGTAATCTACTTTTTGATCAGGAGAATGCCTTGCAATCTTTCAAACTTCCTCGCCCTGTTCTTTGCATTGGCGGAGTATTGCAGATTGAGTTGTTGGGAAGGGTTCAAGCACAAGAGATGGATGGCTTATATTACATATGGTGAGTTAATACTCGAAATCTTTTAGTTTCATTGAAAGTGGTGGTTGACCCCATTTCTCTATCTTTTATTTTGTCTTTTTGGTTGACTTTCCATAGATGAACTGTGAGTTGTTTTATAATCATGCTCTAGTTCATCGTAGTTTTATGTTTTATTATTTATGCAGACATCAAATCCTGTTAATTAAATAGAATTTTAGATGCTGGTGGCTGATGACTTATTCTCAGCAAAATACTGCACTAATTTAATAGGACTAGCTGTGCTGTGCTTTCTGGCTGAAGTTGCCCAATCCTTATGGCAATACCAAAACTAAAGGATAGGGGTGGTGAAATCCAAAGTTGAGGGACTAGGGGTGATGTTTATTTATTTATTTTTTAAATCTAGTATAGAAAAATATTAAATTAAACTATAATTGGGGGGATGTTTATTTAATTTTTTTAGATTTAGTATAAAAAATATTAAATTATACTATAATTAATATTAAATTATAATTAAGTATTTAAATTTACGGGGGCAAAATTTTCAGTGCATTATAGGATATTAATGAGTTTAGTAAAAATTTAAGGGCGGCAACTGCCTTCCCCACTCGCACCTTGGTTCCACCACCACCCAATCCTGATGTTCTCAGAACTTTAACAGCTCTTTTGAGTCATTTCACTTTGATCCATTCCTTCAGATTACAATCTCTCTGTTTTTTTTATTTGGGAGAAAAAATGAGGGCAAAGCTCAATTCATTGATTCTGTTAGGTGTTACAAGAATGGGACTAAGCACAGTCAAATTATATTACTTTAAATAAAGGACCACAAAACAAAGGTTAAAAGACTTGCAGAAACTAAAAAATGAGCATGAGGGGCTTAGAATTTGGTCAAGAATTGTGAACCACATCCAGGAACACCTTCCAAGCTATCTATATCTTTCTATTTCATAATCGGTAACACTGGCTTCACGAAAATTTGGTCAAGAATTGTGAACCACATCCAGGAACACCTTCCAAGCTATCTATATCTTTTTATTTCATAATCGGTAACACTGGCTTCACGAAAACAATGGAGGCGTGGACAAACCTGCAAGCATACCTCTTCCAACATGTAAAATTAAATAAAACAACCCAATATACCCATGAGTTTGCCAACTTTGATAGTAGAAATTGAAATTAGTGCAGTTCTGCTGGAGTCATATAATCATGGCAATCAAAGACCTAGGTGGGTTGGGTTGAGCATGACCTTTCATAAGAAAAATCACAAATCTTGCAAAAGTTCTGACACAACATCCTTGTATAAATATGCTATAATATGAATCCCTGTCCCACATTGGAAAACAGTCATTCAAGCTGGCCATGCTAACAAAAAGAACAAGAAAAAGCAGTCAGAAGGGATATAAAATCTTCGTTTGAAGGCGAACATTGGTATCAGGAGAGGCCCAACCTCCTTTTGAGAAAATAATAGTTTGATATCAAGAGACTGTGCATCATTAATAGTCCATCTCCTAAATTTATGAGCCACTTGATTTGCTATTCTCATTTTCAAGGACATCAAGGAAGAGTTTTTATTGTTAAATTGTCTATCATTCCTTTCTCTCCAAATAAAAAAAATACTAATAGAGATCACTAAGCAAGGAAGCCTTGAGAACCTACAAAAAGAGATGGTTGCAAGAGGAAAAAAATTTACTTGGCAGAAAGTTTTGAATCAACAACATAGAGGAAAGACAAAAAATGAATGATCATGAGCCTCCCCATAGTCCTCAAAAAGCTTACAAGCAACTTAAGAATATCGGCATAAAAATTGATCTGAACCAAAAGCTATATAGTGGTTAATAGATGATATTATTTGCTGAAATCTACCTCCAAGCAATAAATTTTTTTTATTCCAACTAGCTAACCAATTTTGCAATTTATCTAATAGACAAGAATGATGAGTTGCAGTGAGCTTTCCATAATTAAGGCTTTACTGGAGTGAGCTTCTCCTTTCATAAAAGTTTCTTTAAAAATAATTTTTTAAAAAATAGTGCTATAAAATTATAGTTGCTAAAGTCAATATTACAGTTTGAATAAATTTTTTTTTTTGTGCTTTTTTAACACTATTAATCATAGCTTCTTCATAAAAAAAATACTAAAACACCCTTTTTTAGTAAGTAACAAATTTTAATTCTTGTTTGAAAAAAAACATAAAATGCTAAATTATTAGCCTTTGCTTGCTTTTTTTACATAAAAAACATAAATTTATGTATATAATACATTGTTCTTCCCAACCTAATATTTTTCTGTTTAGGGAGACCATGGACGAGGCTTTAAGCAAGCCTGCTTCTGACAAAAACTATTAGGAATTATTGAACAATTATAAAACTTGAGTCAATCAACATATGGGTAGTTAAATAGAAATTTGGAGAAAAAAATAATTAATATTGTCCGTCGAATAACTGTTTGTCTCTGCTATTACAAGCCTTCGCCTCCTTTCTCCTCTCCCTCCAAACCGACGGTGCAAGCAGTCACTGAAAAAGTAAAAAACAAAGTAAAGGAAGCTGCGAATGAATGTGGAGAAGAAGTTCCTTCATCTCTCACCTCTTGCCTCCTCAATCGACACCGAGGAAAGAAAAAACTTTCAGAAATGAGATAAAGGATGAAGCGAAGGCAAATGCCTAACATCCGGAGTGGAAGGAGTCATTAGTGGATCTCATCGTTATCTCCCATAAGCGAAATTGGTTTTAGGGGGTGAACCAAAGAGAAATCGAGGAGATAAATCATGCAATTGTGAAAGGGTAATTTTGACTTTTTTTTAATAAAATAGCAGAACGCAACAAGGCATGTGCGACCTGAAGGAAAAATGTCATTGCATTGCGATAAAATTTCGGAGAAGTCGCTCACCCAAACGACTGCCTTGCATTTTATCCGTCTTCTGTGAAGCATAATGGAGCTGAGAAAAGTAGCCAAATGAAGCCTAAGTGGTAACTCCATAAGAGTGAAAGGGAAAGATTCCTTTTGATTCTCAAGTAGTCACTTATAGCTGAAGGATCACTAACATATTCAACAAAGCAAATGTCATATTTTGGAAAATACACTTCAAGCCCCAGACATAAGTAAGACATTCAAAAATAGTTTTGAGGTTATGAACTCGTTTTTTTCCGCCAAACGAAGGGCAAGAAGTTCATTTGCTAAAAGAAGATGAGAGACATTAACCCTTTCAATAGGGATAGAAATGTATCTTAATTGAGCAACTTCCTCCCATGATTTCTAGAAAAATATCCATGCTAATAGTGAATGGAAAGGGAAAGGGGGCGTCCCTGTCTAAATCCATTTGAGGAAGAAAAATAAGATTTAATTTGTTAATTAAGAACAATAGAGAATAAAATATCATGAATTTGGTAAAAGCCCTTCTCAGACAATCTGGAAAGAATTACCTTTCTTTTAACACTATCAAAAGCTTTCCTAAGGCCTCTATTCGGCTTTGAATTGATTCGTGATTCATGGGCTAGCATGATGTTGTCGTCCACTATATCTCTATGTTTGTTGAAAGCCGATTGAGCTGGGCTGATAATATAAGAAAGAATAATTTTAGGCCTGTTGGAAGGATTTTGGCTATCCCTTCGTAAAGAGTGTTACATAGTAATATGTGTTCAGGAATAAGAGTAATGAGACTACCCTTGGAGAAAATTTTTGAAACGCTCCATTGCATTCGCATTGACAAGTCCACTGGCCCGGATGGGTTTATTTCTAAATTCTTTGTCCCCCCTTGGGACATTGATAGAGTTTTTATTGGCTAAGGTTAAACTGCAATCTCTTCTTTCTTGCATTTTTGTTTTATTTTTTATTTATACATGAACACAGTGCTTGAAACATTGTTCTTTACCCTTTCCTTCATGCTCCATACGCCATTCGTACTGAAACCTATCAACATTTCCTCTGCATGTTCCAGTGTATGTCATGTTCGCGTTCTCGGCTACCCTCTTACACCGCATCTGGATGCCGAAGTTGTCGCAGCCGGCAACGAGATTATTCTAAAATATCTCCCAGAAGCTGGGGTTTGCTCCTCAACCGAGGCCCAAGATTCATCCGGCTGGCAAAGTCTCAAGGATAGAATCAAGGATCTGAGAGCTAGAGCCAGGGATGGATGGCACTATCCCTTTCTCAGCACACTGCTCAGCGCAATGGAAAGTGATTTAGATGACGAAGAGCCTCCTCTGGGTTACTGGTAGTAAAACATGTGAGTTGCAGACTTCTCTTCATTTTAATAACGCGCGCTGTTTATTTATAATTGAATACTACCAAGTTGTGTTATGCTGTTGTTGGGAAAATTGTGTCGATTTTGAAGAATTGATGGAGATACATGTTCTTAATTTAAGGATAAAGATTTATTTTTAGGAAAATTTACATACTCACCACACTTGGATGTATTTACATATCTAGCTAACACCTAAAATATGATATTTATATCTTATAACATTATGGTGGCATAAGGCTATATACATGAAAGGTCCTACTCATTTGTTATTCTTACATTTACTCTTATTAGCCATCTTAGATTATTCTGTCGATTAATTGTAATATTTTATGCTATTTATTGTAATTTCAGTCATGTCTAACATCTCAAACTCTTAGGGGCCGTTTGGGGCAGCTTATAAGTGCGGACGGCTTTTTCAAAACACCTCCTCACCATTTGGAAAACACGTTTCTGCAGCTTATCCGAAAATGCAGTTGAGTTTTTACACTAAATGCAGGCCGCGGGTCGAACCCCGCAGGCCACCCGTGAGTCGAACCTTGCAGGCCACCCGCGGACCGCATTTCAGGATAAACACAAGCTGCCCCAAATACACCCTAACTTGGCTTTAAGTAAATTTTTGGAAGATTTACAATATGGCACCTTATTAATTCGTTGTATTTACATATCAAACACTTAAATTTTATTTTTTATATATATGCCATCATATCTGTGCAGAAGAAGTTATGTTTCACTTTTAGACGTTTTAATGGGGGTATTTTTGATGTGTTGTGGAAGTTTTGGGTGGCATAAATATAAGAAGTACGGGTTAGAAATGTAAATTTATAGGAATTGGCCGGTATGTATGTAAATGGCCCCTAACATTTAGGAAGCGTGCACTTACTGTACTGTGTTTCATATGTAAGACGAATGTCACTTGTGCGCAATTACTCCCTTCTTGGTGATTGAGGGTGTACTTTCTAATAATGAGTTTGCGAGTTTGAATCAAACATATTGTTTTTTTGGTTCTCTTTTCCTTGAAAAAAAAAAGGGGCATATAACTTGTGTTTGATTAATAGAAAAAGAAAGAATGAAGATGCCCTAAAATTTCAAGTTTTGTTTTAAGAGAATGTTATATGAATAGTTTAAGATAGTTTGTTTTTTATTTATGTATATATTTTTTAAATTAATTAATATTTATTTATTTTTAGTTTTGTTTTTTTACCCTATTTTCTTTTATTGTTATAAAATTTAATAATTTAAGTTTTTTTTGTTAAATGTAATTTTTCAATTTCAAGTATATCGTTTATTTTATATGATTATTTACTTTTTTTTATAAATTTAAAATAGAGAATTAAATATATTTTTTTTTCTGAGTGCTTAAAATAAATTATATATATAGACACACACACATATAATTTCTATATATTATAATATTATATAAAATGCATTTTTATGTCTTCTATCATCAATGAGTTTTTTCTTTGTATTTATTTTATGTTAACGTGTTCTTATTCATATCTCGTAATATAATTATATATACTAAAATACCAGCACAAATCACAAAGAAAACAAACGATTAAGATTCAAGGGCCTCCTTTTGAGATAAATTGGTCAATCTAGTCAAATTTTTGCAAAGCTAATATGCATGATGGGAATGCAAGGGCATGGAGAATTTCTTTTCCCTTTAAATAGGATGAAGAATCAAGATCATTAAACGAAACTCGCTCGTTGAAACGCTTGAGGAGGATTCACTTAATGATGATAGCTCAACACATTGATAGGACGTCTGAATGGTTGATTTCTCGAAAAAGAAAAGAAACATCGCATTCAAACAGACTTTTAAAGCACCCCTTACCATAAGAAGCATGGACATTGTGGGCCCATTTCTCGACCAGGTATGTTTTTATACACTTGCTCGATACTTGGGGAACTCGGGCCAACCTAAAGGTGGCTAGTTGACTGTATTGCGAGACGATAGAAAAAATTCATCCTGTAGCAAAAAAGCACTCGCAAGACCTACGGGTCAGAGCCTCCGGGGTGTTTTCCCTTCTCATCTGCGACAAGATCCGCAAGAGCAATTGAGATTCCCTGAAAGTCCTTAGTGGGTGCACCCCCACAGGTGACGACAAGATCTGTCCTTGGCGGGCTGTGAAGTGGTGAAGGCCTGTATGTCTGGGCAAGCATGGGGCAAGTTCCGATGGCTCTAAAAAAAGCCCCAAGAAATCTTAAAAACCAACATTATTGGGCCTAGTCGGGGTATGTCCTCGGGAAAGGCCAAAATCCCATTTGTTCTATGCTCAGTTCATATCTATTTATAGAGAGTACACGAGGTTCAATCAATTCATAAATTTAATGCTAACAATTGTTTGATATTTTCTTGTCTTTATTGTAGTCGCTATCAAGGAGCAGGAAAATGCAGAGAATTAATATGTATATGCCAAAACTATCATTATGAATCTCAAAAAGAATGAACGACAAAGATTAAATGACCTCCTTTTGAGGTAAGCAATCGACCAACAATTCAAACCCGAACATGAAGCCACGTCTCCACACCCAGGATAAGTTCAAGGTCTAGAGATGGTTCCCCGCTCGGTAGGGGTAAGACCCACCGAAAGTGAGGCGTGAATCATCTCGATAGCGAGTCTCGTTGGATCTCGGTGTGGGCTGCGATAAGATCCGCTTATGACATTGGAAGATTGGGAGATCTGACGGAGGTGACGAACCAACCAGGCAGCCGAGACACGAGCTCTGTGTAACTTGAGCCGAACAGAAAAGAAGCCACAACTCACTACGAAAAAAGCCGACCGATCACATTCGACCAACAAACCCTACGTTCAGACCGAACGACCACCTCACAACTGACTGTTCTGGTCGACCTTGTCAAAAGAGACCGGGCAAGATCACCATACGATTGAACACCTCAACCAACCAATGCGTACTCGAGAAGACACAAATGTCACTCGACTGGTCACCTCAGTCGGTTGACTTCAATCTAGCCGACCAGTCAATTACCGCCAATGTTGAAATTCAAATTGTAATACAAATATCTCATAAAATATAAAAAATCGATTAGAGCCTGAATGAAATTAAGAACGGTTTCCATATCTGTTCTCCCATTTCTATAATTGTACAAAATACGTCTTTATAAGTACAGGGTAAAAATTTGAATAAGGGGACATTTCTTTCTATTCTCCTTATAAAGATCCTAAACCTATTCTACTCTCTTTTCCTTCTTTTTTTCACTTGACAGACTATGATCTAACAATAATATAACTTTAGCATTTACCAGCGAAATGTTCTATTATAACAAAAAATTATTCTTAATGTAGGTTTTTTTTTTTAAAAAAAAAAGATATTTGTCTTATATTTCATTAGTGAAAAATAAGCACAAAATTAATACTTGGCCAATTATAGTTTTGCGCAGGAGTTGTGGAATTTTTTATTTAAAGGAGATAGTAAAACATAATTAAAACTGTGGCATGTATTTTAAAAGTTATTAGTTGTGCTAAACTGTTTTCACCTTGAGGCATTTATTTAACTTAATTTAAAATTTATATTATTATATATGATTAAATTCTTATATATAATGTCTGTTACACACACACACACACTATTTGCCTCAAACCTTCCACTGAAGATCTTCTTGGCTGCTGCATATTACCTCTTATGGGTCGGACTCTAGCTGCTTTGAACGAAGATATTTTGGCTTTACAACTCTCACAACTAATTTTACAATGTTTTTATGAGTTCCTTTGGGTATTTTTTCTTGGATTGATATACTTTCTGTCGGGATACTTGTCTTTATGGAGATGTCATATCTTTTTGTCTTTTCTTTCTTTGTTTTTTTGTATGGAGTTGTACTGAGGAAGCAGGAACCCCTAGGACGCTATGTATTTCTTTTTGTTTTTAGTGGGGATCCTCTTTCCCTCCCTATTTTTGTAACTTTATTTCATATCAGCATGTAGGGAGCCACGAGCTGCTCTTTCTTTAATATGTATATATGTATATATGTATATATATTATCTTCTATTTTATTTTGAGTTTACTAAGTGAAATCCAAGATTTAGGATTCCCTAGATAAGTCCTCTCCTTCCCAGCAGAGTAGACTAGAGGTATAAATGAATTGAGCTGAGCTCGAGCTCGACACGGTACTAACACCACTCATGAACTCAAATAAAATAGTCATTGGAAAAGTAATCAAAGTGATTGATGAAGGGATGCAAGAAGAAGTGCTGTGGCAGCTCATCATCGAAAACATCAACGTGACCAAAATTCTTTCAGCCAACGTGCTTAGGTTCGATAAGCCCGAGCTCTAAATGAGCTCAAATTGCAAGCTTGTCAATGAATCGAGCTTAAGCCGACTTGTGAGCTGACTCGACTCACGTACACCCCTCTATACTAAGTAGAACATATAATGGACCATAAGAACATTTGTTCTACATTTGATGAGCACAACCAAAACTCCTATCCAAATAAGAGAGTTAAACGTTTTGAAGATTTAACGCTCATCTAACAAATCTATGCAACATAATGCATTAACAAATGTTAGACATTTATAAGTGAAAGTTTCGTATTTTTATTTTTATTCTAGTTTAATAAAATTATACATAAATGTATAACATTACATGTCAAGTTCTATGTGAAAAAGGCTTCATGAATTAATATAATAAGAAGTACATTCAAATTAATTTACTAAAACCTTAATTTGGTGATTTACACATACCACCAAACTATTTAATAATTAATATATAATGTCATATGCAACAAATATAAAGCATTAAACAAGACTCTTAAGCTCAAATAAAATTTTGCAAAACATGAGTGATAAAAAAATTAGTTATAAATAATTTAAGTATATATCACTAAACTTACAATTAATAGAGCTCTCTATGCACAATCAAATAAATAGAAAAGTAATTCAAATAAACTGCCAAAAATCATGGTGAAACAATTTAAATAATAATTAAAATATAATTCAAATTGCATATAAATAAAGTAAACTTCATTGAACTTTGCATTCATCTTTATTGACTTGCAGATAAATTCTACTCACTTAGCACAAGTGAAAACACCTAAATTCAAACAAATACTATTTAACATTGGATACTTTGTTTAATATTAATTTACTACATTGAGAAAAAAAATGGGACAATGAGAGAGAGAGAG